GTGGGTAATGTGAAAACATGTATGTGACCAAATTTGTGGACTCATTAGTGGCTATGCATCCTCAAAGATAAGCTTCTATATGATAAAATCTAGAAAGATTTTTTTCCATCTCAAATCCAGTCAACAGCCAATGTTAAAAAGGGGATTTGGATCTGAAGAGTTCTCAGGTGGTCGCTCTGCATGGTGGCAATATTGGGCATCGAGTGTGGCAGGCCTTTCATCTCAGAGGTCCTTAAGTAGAAATTTATATTCTAAACTTACTGAAACATCATGGGCACTTGAGGTTGGTCTCTCTTTAGGATTTTATTTTCCTTCCCGTCATTCGTGCCTTTTATTTTATTGTTGTTATGATTAGGCATAACCTTTTCCAGTGGTTACAGGGAAATTGCAGGAAGCATTCATGAAAAATACTAAACTGAAACTGCCAAAATAGCTGACATAAATTGTGCAAAATACAACTTGTACAGCCCAGAGGAATGATTCTCATGTCATGCTTTATGTATGAATTCATTTCTCTGGCTTTTATTGGCAGTATGCTTGTCGTAGGCCTGAATTTCATGGGTTTCATCCTACTACATTTAGTCTTTAAAAATTAATATTGATTTTAAAAACTTTATTATGTTAGATGGAGCCCTCTTTGTGTTATACACCAATGTAACGGTTCTATACGCTGAGGCAAAGAACTTCTGGAGTGATGGACCATTGATGGAGAGTTTGCAGAGAAAGGCATCTCTATCTCTGCAGAGATCTGTCTTCTGATTCCATGTAGCTCATGGGTAACCCTTCACTTTAACCAATTATAGTGCTATGATTATTTTTAACTGTCATGCTTCCATCTATGGAGTCCTAGTATGAGCGGTTTTAAGAAGTCTCCTTCAGAGACCTTCTCTCATGCTTCACCAGACGTCAAACCCTAGGATTCCATAGGATGTGACCATGGAAGTTAATGTGGAATGGTAGTTGCTTAGTGTGAAAAGAGCCAGCGGAGTTACTTTTTGCCCTAACAGAGATGGCTTCTGCTACCAACCTGCCTGGCCATCAGGGTCATTGTAGTGTATATGGCCATTTTATTCTGCTGTTGTACCTCTGCCTACACTGCCACTGTAGTTACATACAACCGTGTAGTTATCTGCCAACAGCCTTGTCATCATTAACTGTTAAATTGCCCCGAAAGCGTTTTATTTTGAAAAGTGGAATGTAAACAAATATATACTTCTGCAACAGAACAAAAGTTATAATGGCATAGTTCTCAGCCTTTGGGGATGACATAATTTCACCTTTTGGAGTTAGTAACCTCGTATTGGTGCTTAACTGATGCCATGTCAACAGTATAAACAAATGATACCATTTTCAAAGAAAGATTCATAAATATATCAGTATGAATCTTTGTGTACAAAAAAAGTAACACAAGAATGAACTGTGGGATCTTTGCTCTCTCGTGCCAAATACCAGTGCAACTATATGCAAGTTGAAAGGTGCCTGACCTTATGAGAAGATAAACCACGCTGAAACCCCATGCTAACTAGTAACTACACTTATACCTAAGAAAGATAACCCCCTGTTTCAGGGAATATAGATAGCCACCCTTCCCCATATTTATTCTAGAGATTCTAAAAGTTCATTTTCTAGAGAATGACTCCCAGAAGACCAAGTCAGCTTGCTGACTAGCTGGAGTGGAGGGATTCTGGGAATTGTAGTACCCACATAACTTTTCCAAGCTCTGATTTATTCCACTTGAGGCTTACAGAAATGTAGCTGTGCTCCATGGGTTAACTTCTCCTCTCCTTCTTCTCACCAAATTGTTGATACAGGAAGAGACCTATCCAAATCCAAAAAAGCTTACTTCTTTTACTACATATACAATGTCTGCTTGCCCACTTCATTCTGCCTTTGAATTGTAGGGATCCTTATGTAATGGATGCAGTGCACACACAGAGATGTTCTCATGACTGAAACCGAGGTGGTAACCACAAAACTCTCAAAAAGCTTGAGCAAACACAGCTGGCATACCCAATGCTGCAAGAGTGGAGGAGTTATGAAGGCATATGAAATGAATATATATATATATATATATGTGGTAGATGGACTCATTTGCTAATTGTATTACAGTAACCTAAGGGAACTCTGAATATTGTCCTGCTACTGCTTATAGTGAGATGGAAAAGCAAGAACAAACTGTACAATTGGATGATCAAATGGGAAGTGCTAAAACATGTAGTGAAACATAGCCATAGCAAGTTAAAAATAGTGTGCCAGCGAGAACACTGCCAGTTAATTATTGCACTGATCACACAAAATTGGCTCCCTCACACCTTGTCTCCTTGAGGGATAGAATATAATACCCATGAGAAATGAGGGCCCTGCGTTTTGCTAGGCAGCACTGGTGGCTCTCATGTCAATGGAAACACTGAAATGCTGAGAGGTTTTAGAATGACCTTTAAAGGAGCTATCCAAGGTGTCAAATCTATTTTAATGATAGATTTCAGTACCTTGGACAGCTCCTTCAAAGGCCAGACAAAACACAGAGTAGATCCACTGTTCTATTATCATAGAAGTAAAAAATGGCTATTGCTAGCCATTTCCTCTGTTTGAAGTTGATTGAGGCTAACGAGGATCCTGGTGTTTCCAGTTAGGCTGGCACTGACTATACGGGTAAGACAAAAAGCAATGGGACATTATTTCTGCTTTGTTGTAACTAACTAACTAACTAACTAACTAACTAACTAACTAACGTATATTTAAAAACATGTAGCTTAAATGTTTACAAAATGGCACATCTTCTGACTCCAGCTCCCATCAGCCAGCCAGCATGGACAGAGACCATGCTGAGTGAGGATGATAAAAGTTATAGTCCAATACACATGGCATGTAGCAAGTTGTGGAAAGTTGGTATAGTTCATAAAGGCCAATGTCAACACCTCAGGTGCACATGCAGTAGGAAATATGCATTTCACATTAGAAATGAGAAGAAGAGACATAATTGCTCTTTTCCTCAGTGAGAAAATATGTTTGAACACACCAAACCACAACATTAGAAATATGGCTACCATAATGTGAGGTTTTGTGTGTGTGTGTGTGTTTTTAAAAGTCTTTCAACAAAGGTTATTGTTTCCGTACAACACATTGCTTTTCTGTGTATGTGCAGATTTCAGTCTTTTGTACAAAAACCAATGCTTTCTGTGCAAAAGAAAATCATAAACAAAACCTTAACTAGTATTTTGGAGTCCATAATAAGACCTCAAACTTCAACATAAAGTGAAATAAAACAAAAAACAAACATTAAAACTAATAGCTAAAACTCTTGTAATTTTGCTCATTCTTGCATGTGAAGAATATATATTTCTACTGCATGCTTGTGGTTAAAATTAGGTCATGTTATGGTCATTTCTAGATTACAAGCCATCCTAGTGCTAAATGTAAAATTCAGGGTAGATATACAATATACATTTTATGTAGTTTGACATCACTTTAACTACTATGTCCCAATGCTATGACATCATGGGACTTATTATTTCACAAGTTTTTCACTTTCTCTGCCAAAGAGTGCTAGCGCCTCAACAAACTACAACTGCCAAGACTCCACAACATTGAGCCATGGCAGTTAAAGTGGTGTTAAACTTCATTAATTCTACAATGCAGATGTGCACTCAGAAGAGTGAAATATTATTGGAATCTTGGGGTCAGGGATAGATAATAGTGGTTTCTGATTGTGCCATGGATCATGCTAGCTGTCTTGGGGGTTTCAACATGTGATGATACCTTCAGCCTTTTTGCCAGTTAAGAGGAACATCTAAGTCAGGGTATCAACTCATTTTCACCAAAGGCCACATCAATCTTATGGTTGCTTTCAATTACAAATGGCCATTTGTAATTGCAACACTCCATAAATGTAACTATGTTGCCCTGACACTGAAAGCCTCATGGGTCACATAAAGTGACATGGTGAGCTGGATTTGGTCTGCGGGCTTTGTGTTCGACATGTGTGATCTAAGTAATGGGACTGATGAGAAATATTCCCTATGCTTCATGATAGAGCAAAACAATCCAATCTTTATGAGAGCTAGTCTCATTGTGAGACTGATTTTTTTGTGATACTGTGTGTCTCAATATAATGGACTTACTTCATTTAGAGCTTATTGTGCATATATGCAGTGAATCAAGTCTTGATTTCAAGATTTTCATACATGCATATCATTTGGACAATATTTAGTTTCCTTATCCATTCAAGCTTAATTCTCTGGTGGAAAATCAATTCCTGTCTTTTGCTGTATTGTGGGTTGTACTCTGGGAACTGACAGCATTATTCTTTGTGAATTTCTTTAGAAGTTCAGTGGAGCTTATCCACAGGTAAATCTGCACAAGGACACAGTCTCACACAGAAGTTCCAAACACAATTTCTGGGAAGTAAATGCTATCAAACTCAAAAGGATTTAATTCTGCATAATGGGTGATATGAACATTTTGTGGACAATGCAAAGGGCTTGGACTGCAAGACTAATTTTAAAGTAGAGACAATGGATTTCCTTATTGGATATGTGTGTGCAAGTCACCTGTTGACTTATGGTGGCCCCATTAATTGCATAGGATTTTAAAAGGGAAGAAATACTCAAGAGTTGGTTTTCCTGGTTCCTTTTATACATGCATGCATGAGAATGATCAGAGCTGGAAAGGGATGGGAAGAAGAACCAGGCAGAGTTGAAATGATACAACTGAGGTGGGCTTCAATGAGGATGTATTCTCTTGAGAACATGCACTTCAGGAAGCAATGGCTGAGTGATCCCAGTGCCTCCCACTCAAGAGAGACTGGACAATCCAAGAGGTAATGAACATCCAAGCAGGAGGGTGCTAAACTTTCTTAACATGTGTCACCAGGCCCAACACTAGGGCTTCTTGAACACTTGGACCAACCTCCCCTGTCTTAGGCCATGATAGATGCCTCTTCATGAGGTTTCCTTTCCTCGGGCTATTTGCCCCTGAGAGCCCTTGCTTCCTACTCATACCTCTTGTCCCCCTGAGAGTTCTGGTTCTGCTGGTTCCCAGTGGTTTGTAGATCAGGTATATTGGCAAAGTCGTCCTGTTCTGAGAGCCCCAAAACAAGGGATAGCACCACCATACGGCCTTCCCTGTCCAGAGGAGATCCCACCAGGGGAGTGATGAGGCCCCAGGTTCAGTGAGCAGGATGCAGATAAAGGAAACATAGACAGACAGGAAAGAGAAAAAGAAGAACAAAGCATAAGAAATGAAACCAGTAGGAAAACAAATAACAGTTGAACCACAGTGAAACAAGAGTCGAATATACACCACTTGTACAAAACACACATAAATACTCAGTATCCCTGGGAGATATTTGGAGGCCTGAATGAACAGAGGGCAGACAAATCTTAATACTTTGTAGGGGAGCCATGCCTTTCATATGGGCAAATGTCTTGGAGAGTAAACAAGGCTTCCACAGTGGCCTCTCCCGGCCTCTCAAATAAGATAGCAACTTGACCTCTTTCCAGAAGCATCACTTTATTTGCAGCCCACCGGAACATGAACACAAAAGCACAAACATAATATTAGTTGATCTCATTCCGCAACTGTGGATGTCTAATAATGAAAGATAGTCATGTAAATGTCTCCTCTCTCCACAAAGTGTGAAGTACATAACACCATTGATCCTTGAAGTTGTTCCTTCCAAGGTAGGAAACAAAGCAAAGATGACACTTTGGATAAGAAGAGTACCTAAAATCTTGTGTGGAAGGCAAGAGAGCATAACTTCACTGTCATATGGGCATCATTACAGTCCTGTGTAACATTAATGAATAGTATTTCATATGTAAAATGGGCCTGGTTAGTGATTTTTTTTTTGAAACCCAAGTTGACTGAAGAAAGAAATATTGCTGAAATTGAGTGGAAATGGCAGTAGTGCACACATCATTGTACAGTTTACTAATTTTTATGTGGACTGCTAGTTTGCTAAATGAGTTTTATAGACATTAGTAATAATGAGGTTTCTGTTGCTAACTCCAAGGAAGAATTTCCTGCTGATAAGAGCTGTTTGGCAGGGGAATGTGCTGCCTGAGAGAGTGGTGGAGGCTGCTTCTAAACAGAGGCTGTGTGGCCATCTGTCAGAAGTGCTTTCATTGTGTATTCTTGCATTGCAGGATGGCCCTTGTAGTCTCTTCCAACTTTACGATTCTAGGATTCTGTTATTGAAATTGGATGGGAATAGTAAGAGAAAACAATGTAAAGCATTGCTGGATGCGTTTGTGCAGCTATTGCAAGGTACCTGAATTCTGTGTAGCAAGAATCCAGCTTAATGGACTGGGACATTCATCTATTGCCAGATTTTAAAGTGGACTAACATTGAACAAGAGGCATCCTTAAGGGAATTAATGTGCACAGCAAATAGGCATTGACGGTTATAACTACAACTTTTATCTTTAGTGATTTTCTGGTAGATTTCCATGTTTTTCCAGCCATCTATTTAGAAGCAGCAGGGAAGAAAACACTCAGGCGCTTGGGACCAATTTGATATGTCTAAACGCAACATATGATGTCATAACAGAGGAAAATCCTAACTACAGTGTACATGTGGTCACTTGGATGCCTGGGCCTTGTAAAGTGTTGTTTTTGTTTCAATTTTATAGCTCACTTCTGCAGAAGGTCTGATGGTTTTTCAGTTCTGAGCAAGAAAATTCTTTAGCATTTGTTGGCGGGCAACTGTGTTGTATGCCCCAGGCTGTCCAGTTCAGTCCAAACAACAATCAGTGCCATGACCCCAGTTCAAGTGTTGCGCTTCCCTCAATGAAGTGCAATACACTTGTTCTCTCTGACATGCATGCTCTTCTGCTAGTCGTGGTCACACCTTGTGAAACCTATTACATCTCTGGATTCAGAATGGGTCAGTGCACTCAGTTGACTGAAAAAAGGTGCTGGAGAAAAGCTTTGGGGCAAGACTTGGCATAATTTGATTTGAAGCAGTTGAGCTGCATGTGCTGAGAGACCAGCTCAGCCTGCTGCTTAAGGAATGAGAGGGCACTAAAGAAAGCATATGAATTGGTCCGGGGTAGGCCAAGCTGCATGCTGCCATCTAATTCCTATCAAGTTAGAAGGACCATCACCATCTCCATCTAACATGCTTCTTTCTCCCTGAAATCAGAGTGTGCCTAAGAAGTAGATAATAATATAGTCCCTTTGATAGCAATCAACCAGCGAGCATGTCTTCATCATGAAAATACTGCCAGCAGGTACTTGCTGTGTTCTGGCTCAATTCTTGCCACCGGCTTACAGCCTGACCTTGAGACAAGACTAAACTAACCTTCCTCTCATTCAGTCTGAGGAATGCATAAACAAGAGGATTATGAGAAAAAAAGTTCTCTATGGAGAGGAGAGACACAACAATCATTTAGAAAACAGAAGTGAGGCAGAAGAATTGAAATTGTTCAGCAAAACCAAATAGCAAATTTGTCGTGATTCTGTTCCAGTAGTTGTCAATTATGGTGTTGTGTGGCTTCATGATCATAAGGTACACATATCATATGTATTCTTGGCAAGATTTGTCAGAAAGGCTTTGCCCTTGCCTTCTTCTGAGCTTGGGGGAGTATGACTTGCCCAAGGTCACTCAATGGCCAAATGGGAATTTTAACCTTGTTCTCCGGTTGTCACTGAATGGTCAAAATACAATACCATGCTGGCTCCCTATGGCCCAAATTTAGTTCCAACTTGAGGGCACCCATTGATTCAATTCATTTTGCCTATATGCCGACACACTATGCTGTAATTGCCTGGGTTGGTGTACTCTGTTTGGAAGTGACCAATAGAATTCAGGGTTATTTCTGAATGGGAATCTCTTGGTCTCATGATGTAGATGACTTCCACTTGCAATGTTTCCCACCTTTGGCTATGGAAAATAGGTCTGATGAGAGCTGCAGTGCCACAGCCTCTGAAGGCCAAATAGTTCCCAGCCTGCTATACCTTCTTCCCTGTCATCATTTTTAATTTCCCTCCTCCCTGCCTTCTCTTCTGCACAATTTCTATATGATTAACGTTAACGAAGATTCCTATTGCATGAATATATGCTTGTAATTGAGTCTTATTCAGTTCAATAGATTTTCTTCCCAAATAAGCCCAACTAACATTTTACAGCTCTGGCCAGTGCTCTTCAAATCAATGGTCCATGGTCTAGTGCCAGTCAATGAGGCATCAGCTGCTTGTCTGCAGTGAAGCTATGTAAATAAGACAATAATATGGCACAAATATGGCATGAGTTCTTGGCATACTGTTAAGAAAAAGCTACTTTGCTATGTCAGATATGTTGAGAAGCACTGGTATAGGCCAAGTTGTTTAGAACTAGTCCAGGCCACCTGTCCCCACAATTGGAGACTAATGTGTAAACTGGCATCTATTATATTCTCTATCTTGCAATGTCATGTGAATGCAATGTTTAAAATGATAAGTGAGACCTGAAGAAAAATGGTGTAGTGTATTTCCTCACCTCCAAAAAGAAGTGCTGGAGAAAGAATAAAGGACAGAATAAATCTGCCAACAGATTTGAAAATAGTCAAATAGGTAACAAAGCTGAAAATGGTTTCTGTAGTCATTGGCATGGCTTCTTAAGATGTCCTATATGTGCACATCCACTTTGGAGAAAGTCCACAGCCAAGGGACACTGCTTCAGAGAGATTTGTGCTTTGTTTGAGGCGATTTCTAAAGTAGCCTAAAGCAAATTGGGATGTTTCTGAACCACAGGAGTCTGTTCTGGAGGTTCAGGGGGATAAATGTATTTTAGATGTCAATTTAACATTGATACATTTCCTTTTCAAGCTGCCTGTTTGTTTGTTTTTAAACCCTCAACACTAGGCAGGAAAGGAAAGAAAGGATATCTATATCTCTGTGATGGACTATTCAATTATCCAATCAGGGAACAGCTTTACCACACTTGTCCTTTTCTTTCCTTTCTGCAATCACTGTGCTTTGTGGAGCAGTGCATTCTTCCCACTTCCACAATGGACTCAAATTGGCCTTTGGTCATTAGAAATATTTGGCCCTTATTGGGCTGTTTTTGCCCTCCACATTCCATCCCTTTCATTCCTAAGTTTTTTTCTTTGTACATCTGAAAATGTTGGGTATTCTCTTGAGCACTGCTGATGCTCAGGAGCATGCCTCTTGTTTTCCAGTAGCTTTATTTTGGCTTCAATGCTCTTGACACTAAGATTAGAAGGAAGTGACCTATGGAAGCTGCACAAAATGTTGGCGTGTAATCTCACCTCCTGATAACAGTGTTTAAGTTGGGAATTTTAGCCATTATATTCCATGCTATATCCAGCCTTCTTATTTTTCCATTGTGACTAACAGCCAACACGCCATGGCTACTAAATATAGTTGAGTCACCAAAGGTCTGTTTTTAATTTTTGAGTGTAGGTGGGCGATTTTTCCCTTAGGCATCCTTTAAAAACTTTGATTTATATTCCTGCAAGCCTTCTGATAGCTCTCCTCCTATAGCTCCATTTTGGTGTCACTTCTGTCATCACTCATCACTTGGATTTGCTACTGTAGAAGGATCGAAAGTGGTAGTAGTAATGGTGGCTGGAGACAGAGGCTCAAATTGATGCCCATCCACAATATTCATCATATGTCTACTATTGCTTTGAAGATAAAAGTGTGTGTGTCTGAGAGAGACACTATGTGCAGTGCCCTAGGTTTGTTGGAGGAAGGGTTTGGAGACCTGTGCCTTTCCGGAATAGAAAAACTCCAGCATTTGTCCCAGAAGCACTTTATTAGAATTTAAGAGTCTCTGCACATTGCACTTGCCCTGAAATCCAACATACCACCTGTCACACCCAGCACTTTTTAATTCTGTACCCATTACTTGGCCCGGCCCTAGTTTTTACTGTGTTACGGTGTAATGTTTTGTTGTTATTGCTTTACGTTTTTGATTCTGCTTTGAGTTGTTTTGTTATGCTGTTGTTGTGTTGAGGCCTTGGCCTTTGTAAGTCGCATCGAGTCCTTCGGGAGATGCTAGCGGGGTACAAATAAAGTTTAATAATAATAACAATAATAATAATAATAATAATAATAATAATAATAATAAGGCGGAAATGCAAATGTAATAGCAATCATATATAAATAATTCAAATTT